CGTTGAACTCACTTTTGTGATTGAATCATCAATTCAAGCCAAACATTAATCAAATAGGAACAATTTCACTCAAAGTATACCTAGACACAGGAGAACTATTGTCATGAAAGTGTTGTATAGTCGATTACGAATTTAGATTGCAGAGAGTTTGTTTTGAGCGCTAAAGGCACTCACGATAGAGCACATTTTGCTTTATTCTAACAAGCATAATCCACGTGCTCCATAGCGTATGCAGTAACAAAATGATCAAGTACTGGCTGATATTTTGCACGATCACAGTTGTGCAGTAACCCAGCAGCACAGAACAACTTTACAAACTCTTCCTGAAGTGCTTTGACTTCTGCGGCAACTCGCTTCTTTTGTCTATCCGATAAGCCATTAGTCGGATGATTGTTTTTAATTTCATGATATGGGGTCGTCTTCGAGGCAAACACATCTAGCCACAAATCACCCATGAAAGATAATACTGTAGTTGCGCATTCTTCAAATCGTTTACGGTATTCAATTACCGTTTCATTTCCGTTCTGACGACAATTCACCCACTTCTGTAGTGCTTCCCACAATGTAATGGGTTCCCAGTCTGTCACATCACTGGTTGTCATAAATTTATTGATGCGTCTCAATAATTCAATAGGATCACCATCGATTTTCTCATTGTAATCGACCTCCTGTAGAATCTTGTCCTTCATTTTACTGGTAACAAATGACTCCATAATCAGCGAATGCACATGCCACTTCGCCTTGCTCCAGTATCGCTTTTGTCGATGATATTTGACACTCTCCGTTTTCAATTCTTCTTCCTTTGCCTCTTTCTCAATTTCGTCTTCTTGACCAGTTAAATTCAATTTGGGTTTCAAATCATCCCAGTCTGGTTCATTTAATTCTTTGATGGCAGATATCATAATCTGGGGGTACTCCAATCCCTCCATTCCAATTCGTTTGATGAGGCTTCTTGTTACATCAGTTCAAAATCATCTTCCAAATTCTCACAATTCTCATTCTTGATCACCTTTCTACGTGATGACGCGTTCTGACATACTGCGTTTCATATTACGCATGATCGACACTCACGTCACTGCCGCGTCACGTCACATAGACCATTGATCAATAATCGACCAATATGATTGCTCAATATATCAATACGTCCAACACTGGGAACCATTGTTGGAGGAGCCAATCAACCGCCATAATCCCTGCCAGAAGGCCAATCAACTCGCTACGATAGGCACTCTGATCCTGAGGTAAACCTGGAGTCTGACAACGGATGACAATGCGAGCAGTTCCCTCTTTTGGAAGGAGCTGAACAGCAGCGGTTCCGAGGTCATTTTTGTATGACCCATCACTGATGATTCTGAGGCGACCCTGGATCAGGGCATCGGCCATGGCAGCCTCATCCCCATGTACCTCAATCTCATCAGGGACCCACCCATAGTAGTCTGTGCAGAGGTCGGCAAAGGTTTGCCAAGCTTTGAGGATGGAGGGGGCCGGGTCGGAGGAAGGTAAGGTTGGGAGACCTGTACCAGTGAGGAGCACCAAGTCAGAACCGGAGAGGGGCCGCACTGTGGCCCGCAGGACGTCAGTAGGCAAAGGGCAAGTCCACCAAGAACTTGGTCATTGTAGGCTGTCCGTCCCACTGTGATTGCCAGATGGAGCATAGCGCCGAGAAGTTTTAGAGGAACCTACAAGGGCGAGATGGGTCCATGCAGCCCCAACCCGATGGAACAAGCCAACAGTCGGCGACCAGAGCCAGTTCCAAGACTCGAAGTGGTCGTGCCAAGGTCCCAGGGGTTGGAGCAGAGGGTGGTGCTGACCGTGTGAAAGCAAGAGCACGCGGGACAGTGTTCTTTGCCAGAGTTCCCAATGCGTACGCCCGGGTCGTACCGTTTGAGGCCAGTTATATGGGGTCCGATAAGTGTCGTCGCGGAAACCGTTCCAGATGCATTGCCGGATATAGCGGCCATCGGCCGTAGTGATATCTGACACGGTAGTTACTTGCAGGAACATCCGGCACCAGTTGAGCCAGAGAAGGTCGTCCTGATCAACCTCGAGATCCATGAACAAGTCAATCAGGAGGGCGTCTTGATGACACCGTAAAGACAAGGCCGGGGAGTCAAAGGCCACACACATATCCAGTGACTCAAGTTCCTTCCATACCCGTTTAAGCCAGGTATCAGACGCAAGAATGGATGTGTTCTGGTAATCTTGCTGTAGAAGACCAAAGGAAGTACCAGTTTCCAGTTGGTGGGCCTGGAGATTGGCGTCCATGTAGGCTCCAGTCTTTGTACCCCCTGACATATGGCGCGGAATCATCTCCAAATGATTGTACACTTGCTTGCCAAAGGGGCAAGGCCTTGATAATTCACCGTGGCAAAGACCACCGAACGGGGAAAGTTGCGGCAAACACCTGACTTAGGTAAGCACACCTGGAGAACCGGTGACATGATGTCCTGCCATTGTTGAGCGTTGAGGGTAGTGAGTGCCATAGGATACTCAAGCTTCTTCATGATCGTGGTCCGGATCAATGGTAACACGTCGTACTTGTGTAGCAGGTGAGGCCGAAGCTGTTTGGCCCACTCTTTAGCTTTAGAGACCAACTGTGCCTCCTGTGCTTTGTGATTTTCCAATGGCAACAACATCACCCCCAGAGTACGTTCGGAATCATGTGGTTCTAGGCGACAAAGGGATTCAATGTCCCCGGATAGCCCCGGTATCTGATGATCGAATTCCGGTGCCGCGGAGCGTTTCCTACGGAATCTCCACTGACCATTGCAAGCATCCCATTCAAAGTCAATAAGCCACCAGAAGGACTTCTCCGGATTGATTGCCCCACCTGTTGGCCGAATTCCCCCCGACCATAAGGTGGCGGCAGCCTGAACTGAGGCGCAAATATCTTCCCCCGAGTGATGTTCCACCTGCTTCAATCACGTCCGTATCGTCAACAAAACAGAAACATTGGGCTGTCACTAGTTGTGACTCTAACGCTGAAAGACATTCAAATCCATAGCCCATAGCTTCCATCATTGTGATTAACACCGAGCTCACTGAGATCCAAATAGGAGGTCCGGCACCATTGCCTTGCCCGCAATTTTGAAATGGCACAACTGACGGAGGGCGGAAGCTTCTCTTGGAGTCACCAAAACCTGTGCAAACACGGTGCGTAGCGGAGGAGAGCATGTTGAACATAGATGATAGGACACGCCATGTCAAGCCAAACCGCAACATTGTGATGATGGCTACCCAGTGAACAACACGGTCAAAGCAGGACTTTGCGTCGTTCGAGATCCACCCGGCTGCACGGCGTTGAAGGATAAGTAGATCCCACACTAATCGTTTAGACAAGGCCAGGTCAATTGCTTGATGACGTTTGCGGGAGCCACATTGCCCGTCGGGCATCA